GAGCAGCACAAAATGTAGTGTGCTACCAAGTGCTATTCATCAAAGATGAAATTATCTTCAAATGCCTAGTTTAATGCTCATATTATATATATATATAAATAACTAAGTTTATACTATGTGTTCAGGAATATTTAAAATAGTCCTATAAGAAAACCTTAAACTTTGATTTATTCCAGGAGAAACTAAAGTTTTAATTTGCTCTATGAAAGTTTTAAATTTTTCTCGATTCTAATTTCTCCTGTAACATGTATATCATATCAAACGAAGGATCTAAATAATTTATTATTAAAATAAAACAAAGATAAAAACAGAAAACTTTACCATTATCACCCGGAAACGTGACCAATGTACAAATCGAAAACAAAAAAGATTTATTTGATCAAATCAAATATACGCACAACTACTATTTTCATGTGCTATATAGAAGGTTTTCCAAAAGTCCCAAAGGAAAGTTTCCGTAAATATCTCTTATACAATTTGAGTGACTAAATCGGTTTTTTTGATTAAATGATAGTATATTCTTTCAAATTTTATTTCATAAGAAAACCTTTAACAGATACTATTTTGAACTGTCACTTTTGACTTCAATATCAAAATGTATCCATTTTCAATTTTTCAAAAATGCGAGTACCCGAGATGATGAAAAGCTTTTGAGCCTATATGATGATTAGACACTTGTGAGGTGAGATTTTTCCTTTTGCTATGCGATCACTCTACTACAACGACCTCCAAAAGGTTCATGCTTTTATGCAGTTTTGACTGAGATATGAAATTTTTAGTGGGTTATGTCCATGATGACCCCCATTTTCAAAAGACAATTATAGTTTCGAATTTTGACCTGAAACTTTGCCCAAAGCGAGGTCTCACTCAGACTAGCTTCTGTGCAAAATTTTAGAACTTTTGGATATAGTATTTTTGAGAGATGTATTTTTCAAATTTTCCAAAAGTTACATGGACAAACGCCTAAATTTGGAAAAATTCATATCTCAGAAAAACTATATCGAAAACTTCTGAAATTTTATACAGAAGCTAGTCTGAGTGAGCCCTCGATTTAGCCAACGTTTCAGGTCGCAATTAAGTATCTCAGAGAATTTCCTTCGAAAATGTTAGTTTAGAAATCGAAAGTGGGTACATTTGGATATTGAAGTCAAAAGTGACAGTTCAAAATAGTATCTGTTAACGGCTTTCTTATGAAATAAAAATTGAAAGAATATATTATCATTTAATTAAAAAAACCGATTGAGTCGCTCAAATTGTATAAGAGATATTTACGAAAACTTTCCTTTGGAACTTTTGGAATACCCTGTATTTAAATAGTTGGAAGACATAAGAAAAAATTCTAACTGCATATGTGATTACGTTCGATTACATCGTATATTATTTTAGATATTACAGTATCATATAGCAGATTAAAACGACTTAATAAAAATAAGGCAAGACTTTTCTTGGGAATATTGAATTATTTGTCTTCAGATGAATATTCATCACACGCAAATACTACTTGAATATCATTGAAATTTTTCTTGTTTCAAATTAGAAATAGTTAAGCTCTATATTACTTTTCTTTTGAAAAAATGTTACTGAAAGTTACTTGCCTAAAAATCTTTTAAAAGTGACGGCATGTGTTTCTTTTATGGATTTTTAAGTGGTTTATACAAAATCTAAGGTCGTAACGAGAGCAAAAAAAATCAAACTATATAGGAATATTAATAGAATAGTTATATTCTTCAAAAGTTCGCCACTATAATGTATGAATTCATATTCCTTTTTTGTTCTATTAGCATTATTTACAATCTTGTGGCTGTCAAAATCTATTAAAAGATAGTCCATAAAGCTCTTGTATTGTGTGTTTTTATATGTGATTCTAATTTTGAGAGTAGAAGTCGTTGATCACAGTGACTACATCAAAACTCAACATTGTGTGCATGAAAAGTGAAAAACAAACACATAAAGAAAGGAAAATTTAATCAATTCTTTTTTTTCGTTACTAAATTGCATTTGATGTATCAGGCACATTTTTTGTTTATCAATAACAAATTGTTCGTGGCAAATTCAATATTTATCTAATGAGTGGCATAAGCCCCTAGAATGTAAGGCTACCCACAAGAAAAATTTTCTCAAAACTTACTAGAAATTCATTGGTTTTCAAAAAGCCTTTTCCGAAAATTCAGAAGATTTCGAATGTTTTAGCCCTCGATTTTTCAATGAAAAGCCCTATTTATAATAAGAATTATTCATTTTTTCTGGTAAAAACGTTGGTGTTGTTTTTTTTTGAGTAAATGTTAGCAAAAACCTAGACCTCAATAAAAGGCCATGTTCTTCTACTCTGCACAGGAATTTCATTTTTTTATATCATCATCCATATAAATCAGAACAACAATTTACAAATTCTAATAAAAGGTCTGTGATATAGAATATGTATGTAATAATAATATTTGAGTCAACATGTAGTAATGCAAAAAGGGATCAACTAACATCAACAGCTATTAAACTTTATTATTACTATTATCGCAACCCCCTTCAAAATTCATTCAAACAGTTCATCAATAAAAGAACAAAAATCACAATCACCATGTGGTATTAAATAAAGCAGAACAAAATCTTAAACAAAAAAAAAACAAATTTTTGATCGTAATGGGATAGTTGCGTTGTGTTACAAGTTAGAACTAAGAAAAAGTTCTCGATTTAATGGCTACACATGTTCTATAGGATGTCCTAAAAGTTCACCAGGAAAGCGTAAATGAGTAACTCGGTCTCATCGAAAAAAAATGGTATGTCCTGCTTGGTGATATTTTCAAACATTGGTATCAAAATTTGACAACTGGAACTCGATCTTGTGAATCTTTCTCGTCACGTTGTTACAAAAACTGAAAACCTTGCAAGGATTTAATAGAAGATATGAGATCATAATCTCAGCTTAACGTTGTTCCTGAAATTAAGCAAACTATTGCAACAACTCGAATACTGGCTAATCGCACATTTTCAC